CTACAAAGAAAAACAATATGTACTGGTGACATAAATAATGGCTTCATAGACAATAAACACAGTTCCCTGTAATATTGAGATTGGCTGCAGTATTATACAGGGATATGGAAGACACAAAAAGTTTATTTTATGTAAAAAACATTTGCTCATCTCAGCACACCTGCTTCACTTTGTATCAAATGAACAGAAGGCCACCCTATGAAGATAATCTTTATTGAAATTCTCCAGTTAATACAGATGTAACATTTGATAACAATTGGAAAATCATGTTCTTCAAAAACCCATACATTAGTGGGTACTTTGAAATTATTAATGTCTCTAAAGCACACCTGCATTGCCCCAATACACAAAAATATCAGACTTTTACAATCTTAAGTAATGAAATTGTACAGGTGTTTGTTTAGGTACATTTTTCATCCATTAAACATCTCAATATTCATGGTATATGACCTCAATATTCTGCATAAGTAGAAATTAGATTTTAACCAATTTTATTTTTTATTTAAAAAATCAAAAATATTTCACATTCTTAGGTCTCAAGATTTTGCTGATTTCAAGTCAAACAAATCAAATGGGCATTTTAAAACTAGTTCAATATCCCTACACATTAAAGAGAAAAATCTGACATAAAACTTTTTTTTTTCACAGGGTTGATTCTGTAGATAAAGTTCTCTGGAGGTGCTTATATGGTCTTTAAAAAGACAAATCAAATGAAAATAAATGTCTGATTTGGAGACGTGTTCATCGAACAGCAATCGGCAAGTAAACCGAGTAAACACTTGTGGGAAGGCAAGGTGCTTGCATTGGAGTTCTGTATCGTAGCTACAGTCATTCCTAACCAAGAAATACCCCAACTTCACAGAAAAATCACTAAACTGTTCAACTCATACTTGACGAGATGAAAGGTGGTCCATGTTAAAGCCTATCTCAAATTTATCATAAAATCTTGATTTTCCTCTGTTTCCCATTTTATAATGAGTTTGCTTGTGTTTGTTTTGAGGGTAGAAACATGCCCCCTTCAATAGGGTTTATCCAAGTTCAACTTTTGGTCAAGCATTCATGCAGAGTATTTCTGTATACAATATGTATACACTTTGTGTTAAGATGTACATTTGGTCATTTGCATTTTGATTTGAATATTATTCACCAAGAAACAAGAAATCCTCATTATATCCACAAGTTTTCTCTTGCTTAGAGATTCCTGGTCTGCCCACGTAGAAGAAACACTTAAAACCTGCAATATATAAACAATTTAACAATGGCCAATTTTTTCCCCTCATAAATCCCAATCTACAAGAGAAAGGTAGTTAAACTGTCATCATACACATTCTGCCTGAATAAAATTGCAACAGAACATTATAATCTTAAAACAATTTTTTTTGTTCTTTTTTTTTTTTTTTTGAATTTCACATTTTTATTGCATCTCTAACTCCTAAACATAATTAATGATAGTTAAGTATATTATGTACTAAAGTCTACTATATATCTATTAAATCAGGTCCTAGAATTTTGTCATAATTTTGACTTTAGAATGTTCTTGGGTTATGATCTTGATTGAACTGAGTCTAATTAGTTTTATCTGATTTTTTTTCTCCAATTGAACATTAGTTAACACAGTGTGTGTCTTAAAGATCCTAACAAGTTACAACTTTGAATTTGACTCCCAAGTTGATACAGTGAATGCTTTCTGAAGATATAACATTACCATTATCTATCATAAACTACAGCTAAACCAGCACCTGATATAGTGAGCTTGGTAATTACAAATGAGCAAAGTGTTTGAAAAAGTGTTTTAACCATTCTTCATTAATTGCAGATATTATCGGCAGCCTAAGAATTTTCTCATTTGATGACTTGGTAAAGAGGTCTTCATTCACAAGTCCATAGATCAAATGAATGAAGATCCCTGTGTCAAATGGTTATCTGTCAATGAATCTTTGCCTTGATCAGCTAGTCAGCTTAATGCACAATACCTCCTCTGTTCTGAAACCAGTACTTTTGATTTCACTTTCTATCACTTTTAACAGGAAACCCTGAAATAGGCAAAGTCTTTTTCCACCTGTCTCCGAGCAATGTGATAATCTTCCTATGAGAATAAAGTTGGTTGACCACCATTATAGAGGGAAGAGTACAATTTTTTTTTTTATGATGGTTATCATCTTATCTTCCAATCTTTAAATCTGATTAGATTTCAATTAACAATGCAGGTCTTTCAGATAGCAATGATTGTTTTCTGCATAGTTAACTTCTTTAAAGAATAACGTATTATCGCTGTACACAAGGGCATTTCCCCAGGGTGTGTGTGAGACAATATCGCTGGGTGTTTCTTTTTTCGGCTTGACATTGAAGAGGGGACCTTTTACATTCTCGTGCGATGAGTCTTGGTGAGCATGTGAAGTTTTTCAAGTCACCGGACATGAATGGAGATGTCAACTGACTTGCAAACATCGACATGGAATGTTATTACAGCTCACAGCCAAAAAAACCTGACATTAAACATTTCTGTAATTAATCTTCTCCTAATGGAAGAAGACTCCAATGTATGCATATTTGGCCAACCCTTTAAAACAACTAAAATGGATCGGGTATCTAAATATTTTGCCAGAAGTCCTCAACCATGACCCAATCTACTTGTAGTAACATACCAAATTACAAAATAGCACTAAGTTCTGCATGCAACTGTACATAACTGGATGATAAGCAATAAATTGAAATCAATTTGGATATCAGTTAGATGGTAAACCAATGAAATTAATCTGGAATTTCAACAGTGCAGTTTGTCATCTCCAGCAAATGGTAAAGGAGCAAATGTCGAGCACTCGATTATAATGATTGTCATACGCACCTCCCGATCAACCAACAAACCACACACCCAGTGACCCGAGGTGTCCTATAACAGAACGCTTTATGACATGGATTTACACCTTCAAAAATTAGCCTGTTTTACATTAACCAAAATCAGGAAATGTATGCACTGTCACATAATTCTTCATTGTCAACATGTGCATTAAATCCTAAGTCATGAATCTAATGCTCTCTGGTTGTGTATAAAACTTAGGTGTTAAAATGAATGAAAACCTGAATATATTGTTCTCCCAAAAATTGTTGCATATTAAATTAAGAAGATTTATAGTAAGGGGTAGATTAACAAGATTATCATCCATATACTAAGCATGTTAATTCTCTTTTATCATATCTATAGGGTTATTTTCACAAGGAAAACAAGATCTGTCTCAGTGTCTATCAATGCATGTAAAATGAAGAAAATCTTACGACAGAAATGGGCCCCGATAGGTGTTAAAACCATTAGTGATGTGATTAATGGGAACTGGTCACCCAGGTACAAATGTAGGTAATCATGTTCCTACCAACCACAGTTGTGATATCTTTGTAGTGTTGGACATTATGATGATATGATACAACATTACAAGCATTAGAGGACCATTGGCCCCCATGTTATTCCTCCCCTGTCCATAAATCATGGAGTGGAATTACAAAAATTGACTGTTTACAAGCTTACTAACCCAAACCAAGTCTGGTCCGAACTAATCATCAGCTTTAGAGGGTTCTAATGAGTGACCATGCAAAATCATGTCAACTGGGTGTTTGGTGTTTTAAAAAAAACATGTACCTGCACAGAGAGAGAGAGGTTATACTGCTGCTGCTTGACTAGTACATGTATTAACAAACTAAAAACTTTACCAAGGTAAAGAGAGATATAATTATTTCCCCTATAAAGAACCTTTCCTTAAAATGTGGACAAAGTCATTGAAAGGACAGATCAAAATCTGATACCTCTAGTCCCCCTCGAATGTGAAGAATCTAAACAATTAAATCACACTGGTATGTATGTTTAGGACAGGTAATGTACCACACGATACATCTCCCGATTCATTCATCCACAAACCGAATGGGACACTCCAGCCAAACTTGTCTCCTCATAAACCACAATCAAGAAAAAATTTGACAGATGAATGAAAAGAAATCTTGATACTCCATGTCAGTGCATCTAATTAAGGGATTGGAGGGGGATACAGGTCTGTTGCTAAATAAGGATGATGTACGTGGTGAAGAAATAGACACAATACAGGTTTTATAATGTCAAAGTTTGGACTCACTTCCACCAACACACTTTTAATTAGCTGTCATAATCATCTTTAAAAATTCCTAGCAGATGAGAAAAAAACCCATTCATGGACAGCTGTTAAAATATATGACCACCTAAAAATGCATGTGACGATGCATGCATTCATTAACTTTTTAGAGACTCTCATTTATCAAAATATAAGTCAGCATTAATTTTTTTAATACTCATTTCAGGTCATTTCCTAAATATTTTTGTTTCTGTCCCAAACGACCCAAAGTGCATTGTACTTACACTTTTCTGTTATGAAATGTTTAAATTTTGACATTACAATATTTCTGAGAAACTGCAAACTGGTTTTTTTAACACTCGGTTGAAATTTGCCACTTGAGTCTTGTTCCATAAGTAGATTAATGAGCTAGTACATAAATGTCCCTAACTGATCATTGATAATGCTGACAATGGTGTCAGATTTCTTCTGTCCACTGATGGTCGTGCCTGGGGGGAGGGACTCTGGCTGGATTACACCATGGGTGGGACACAAATTTGTTTTTAAACACAAGGACTCCCTTTCACTATGCTGTCAAGATGATCATTAACTGCCATCAGCTCTAGATGATAATGCAGACTAGGGACTCAAGTCAATCATAGCATCAAATAAATTACTGTGAGAACTATACTGTCTGAAAGTTGTTTGCGATCTTTTCTTTAATTGTTTGCAAATTACTGCATGTAATAGATATAATTATTTCTTCTAAACATATCAGCAAAAACATTAAGAAATGCTTGGAATATTTTTCTCACAAATCAAAGATTATTGGAAGTTTTGTTCTATTCTTTCAGGCCCTTTTAAACAACTGGAAGAGATCAGAGAAAAGAATGTAATTAAAAAGATTTGCAGGTGCTTGATGATACG